TCTTTCTTTATTTCTTCTTTCTTTTGGCAAAATTAGTCCTTTTATATAGACATTTTATAGACTACAAAATAACTGATATAAAAAATCTTTTATATACTACTTGGAGCGAGTATCCGATTCACCTGATGGTAAGAATTTAGCTCTGCCCATGAATACCCTTAATAATTCTAAGTGCATTATCGGCATTTTTAAAAGGATTACGTACCTACCTGCATTCTATTGAAGGTGGTTGTTCTAGAACTTCAAAACAATAATGATTAAAATAAAAATAGATGTGCTTTTTGTGACGGCTTTTTATTGGACTCTAGATATAACATAGGCCCATGAAGTAAAAAATACAATAGTTACATTGAATCACGTGTTACTTGCATGATTCTTGAAATTTCCTGGAGTATACCTATACCAATAAATGGAGCATAGAGCCAATATAAAAAATAAAAATGCGCATATGACCTCACTACTTTTTAATCCCTCAAGCAGTAGGCAGACACAGATGCACAACTGTTTACATTGTTACACGCACTCTTTACCAATAATGTAATATAAGGTCTTTATAATAAGGGGTGAACCTTTTTCATAATAAATATTCTGCATCAAAGTCTGAGGTTAAAATGATTTAGAATTAAAAATATGAATAATAAAGCACTACGTTACGCTAACATTTGGTCTTCAGTTGAACTTAATTATCATTGAACATGTTGAGTTCAACACATGAACAGTTGATGCTTTATAAGCTACGTTCTAAACGTGCTCTCTGCCAGTTGCCATTTGAACTTGAAGAGAGATATCTTCTAAAATGTTGTCAGTGTTACTAGGCGTTGTTGGTGTAATACTTGCATTAATATACCTAAAGGGAATATATAATCAGTATTATTGGAAGAAACGTGGTGTAGCCTTCTATGACAAGCACAAGACAGGAGGACCTCTATGGCAGTTCGCAATCGAAGATAGGTCATTCTTCCAAATCCTGAACGATATCTATTGGAACTATGAGAAAGAACCAGCTGTCGGTCTGGGCTCATTCCATGACCTGGGACTATTCGTGAAGGATCCAACCAACATACAACACATCGCACAAGTTGATTTTCATTCCTTCAGTAGTAGAGGTTTTGCATTTACCGAAGACGATGTCTTGGCACACAATGTGCTAATGCTCAACGGTCAGAAATGGAAGCTAGTCAGGCAGAAAGTGACACCAATTTTTACAACTGCCAAACTTAAAAACATGTTTTACATCATCGACAAAAGTGCTCAGGATTTTATAGAGTATTTAAGAGATAATCCAGAAAAGTTGAAAGAAGATCTGTTTGATACTTTGGGTAATTACTGCAATGCTGCCATTGCTGCTGCTGTATTTGGAATCCATACACGCTCAACTTTCGATTCTCCATTCCGTATGATGGCTAAAGAGGTTCTGACTCCTACTTTTTTCACAAATTTGAAGTTTGCGATAAGTGGAGTAAGTGAATCACTCTTCAAATTTTTAAAACTCAAGTTATTCAAAACAGAAAAAGAGAAATTTTTCATCGCAGCGATCAAACAAGTAATTAGGCAACGAGAAAAAGAAAACGTGAAGAGACACGACTTCATAGATATATGTGTAGAGCTCCAGAAGAATGGGACAATGGTGGACGCAGATACTGGGTATGCGCTGGAGCCGACAGATGAGCTGATGGCTGCTCAGGCTTACTTTTTCTTCTTGGCAGGTACTGACCCTACAATCGCTGGAATATTCGGTACTTTAATGGAATTGGGAAGACATCCCGATATCTTGAAGAAGGCACACGAGGATGTGGATAGAGTATTCGAGAAATATATTGAGTGAGGTCTTTAGAGTGCATCCTCCGATTGCTTTTGTAATGCGACAGTGTGTGCAGGATAGTGTTCTGCCAGTAGGCAATATTCCTGTTGAGAAAGGTGTAAAGATATTTCTACCTGTATTTGACTTGCATCATGACCCTAATTATTTCCCGGAGCCTGAGAAATTTGATCCTGACCGCTTCGCGAGGGAAGGAGAGATAAATGATGCGACTTATATACCGTTTGGTAAGGGTGGTCGATATTGTATCGGAGCGAGATATGCTAAGATTCAGGTCATGACTGGGTTGATCCATATTCTAAGGCATTATACAGTACGTACATTTGTGAGAAAAGGAGGCGTTAAGTACAATAAGGAGCAATTTCAAGTGCGTTTGAGAAATTGTGATGTTGAGTTGGTGCCTAGAAAATTGTGATTGGTGCAAGCGAGTGTAATTGCTATTGTGTTTCCAGCATAGTTATTGTCACTCGTACGCGTAGAATGTATGTAATTTAGTTACGATAATTCTGGTTCTATTTTCATACATCAATTTGTTATAGGATCTGCAGTTAACCGTAGATAATTTTGTGTATTTTTAGAATATTTTTTTAATATGTAGAGAACATCTTTACGCATAAATTAAAGTTTACGTGTGTATTTATTTATGCATGCTAATCATACCACCTTGTTTATTAATTTCTGAGAAATTGGATAGTATATTAAGTCCATTTTTTTTCAACTCCACTCTATTTATGACAATTTTGAAATCGAAATGTTCAGTAATGGTTTGTCAAATCCAAAGCCTAAGACTAGTCTATGAAATATTAAAATAAAGAACAATTTTTGATCATCAAATGTCATATCCACTTTCCACCAGTTATAAAACAATATGTATACATAATACGAATACAATACAAGACGTATCACAAGAAAATAGGCGATGCGTCACATATTCATAGTAGATAACCACACGCACGAAGCGCTTCGCATCAATCTTCCTTGTACGTACTGCTAAGGAGTGGCATTCTTTGTTAGAGTCTATATGTCCTGAAGGGTACAACCCGGGTGTCTTCAAGGCCCGAGTGAACACGTTGCTTATGGGTCGACGTGCTCCATCGTAGACCGCATCATCGCTTACCACCAGCCGAGACAGTGGTCAAACGTCGGCATTACAATTAAAAAAAACTAAACTCATGTAACCCAGTGGACAATATTATGTGCATTGGTAATTATAAAAAAATAAAAACGCTCCATAATATTTTAACCGACCGGGAAATCGAAATCGCTTGTTGTGTTACAGTCAATTTACCAATAAAGCATGAAATCATATTAGTTATACTATTAAAAGAAAAATGTTTTTTTTACTTATGAAGCTAATAGAAGGTATTTAGTTTATATTAACGAAGGTAGATGGCGCTGTATTCAAATTCTGTACTTTATATTTATTTAATCGTTATTACTTGTAAACAAAATATACCTTGTATTTTCTGATCAATATCTGATACTTACTATAAGAAAATCCTAGAAAGGAAATGCAGAATTGCATAATGTTAATTAAAGACATAATAATGATTATTATGATATAACGAGTACAGGATTCTCCAATACTCAAATTACTAACCCGTCAAAAACACCGGCAACGCATTTGTAACTCGTCCGGTGTTGATTAGTGTTGAGCAATCGGTCCATCAGCTAATTTGTCACTACTAAAAATAGATAGAAGACATGAGTGGCTGAAGGTGTTATGTCTCACATATTTTTAATTACGGTTTTATATCATCAATTAACCGGTGGTATCCGCGAGAATACGTGGAACGTAGATATACGCGAGCCATAATATATTTTCTATTGGGTCTCATATACCGGCACTCAAGAGGTAAAGGATAAGGTTCAATAACATTGTATGATCCCTCTTGACGAGCTTTTTGTTTTTAGATGGTTATCAGGATTTCATGGAGCTGGAAGATGACCACAGAAACTCAGTAATTGAACTCTATACCTCGACTGAGTGTAGACTTGTATGATTCCTTATAGTTTCTTGATTATAAAAAGGGAGTAGGTACCTTCATTCTCTTGAAGGTTGCTGTTCAACAACTTCAAAACAGTAATGATTAAAATTAATAATTTATGTGCTTTTTGTGACAGCGTTTTTAATGGACGCTAGATAACTTAAGGTAAAATACGTATGGTCCATCAGGTAAAAAACATAATAGTTACATTGAATCACGTGTTACTTGCGTGATTCTTTGAACTCCTTGGAGTATATCTATACAAAATTAGAGCCGGTAAAAAATTAGGAAAAAAGTGCATAAATATGACGTCACTAGTTTTTAATCCCCCAAAAAGTAGACAGAGCCAGCTGCACAACTGTACAATACATTCTTTTACACACTTTTCACCAATTATGTAATATAAGTCATTCTATTTCATTTATATAAGGGTGAGCCTTTTTCATACTACAGGCACAATTATAAGCTCTAATATAGCTAGCCACAGATGGCTATACACATCATATAGCCAAGTTTTCAAATCAGTCAGTATGTAAATGGAAAATTTAAGTAACTGAACCCGAAAAATTAAAAACTGCGTCTGCAGATCATAATATAATCATTATCACTATGTTTTGAATACTGTATTACAGATCCACACACGTGAGTCGAATACACGTGACTACACGATATCAAGATAAAACAGACATAGTAAGCTTTTTCTCGCGACTTCATATACCATCTGCGGTACTTATTTTGGCAGTGGTGGTGGTGTGTATAGATATGTAAATCCTGGATTGATTCATTAACTACAACCTCAATGTGTTCATGTCACGATCCTGCAGATCAGATACTTGTCGGCTGAACTACAGTGCTACTGTAGTGTATCATCATAACAATTTATATCCAAGAAACTATTGTTTAGATTTTGATAAAATGTAGCATAGCGACAAAATTGATTTTACTGTCTCGATTCTTCTGTAAACTTTTTCAATGAAGCATTAAATATTCTTAATCATATTTTTTGTTAGATACAAAATCCGGTTGCGTTTCAATGTAGACGTTAATATCACAAATATTCTGCATCAAAGTCAGGGGTTAAAATAATTAACAGTTAAAAAATGAATAATGACAGATAAAACGCAAACATTTGTTCTTCAGTTAAACTTAATTATCGTTCATCGTGTAGTGTGAGTTGAACACATGAACAGTTGACGCACATGGCTTTATAAGCCATTTATGCCGCGCTCTCTGCCAGTTGCCATTTGAACTTGAAGAGAGATATCTTCTAAAATGTTGTTAGTGTTACTAGGCGTTGTTGGTGTAATACTTGCATTAATATACCTAAAGGGAATATATAATCAGCATTATTGGAAGAAACGTGGTGTAGCCTTCTATGACAAGCACAAGACAGGAGGACCTCTATGGCAGTTCGCAATCGAAGATCGGTCATTCTTCCAAATCTTGAACGATATCTATTGGAACTATGAAAAAGAACCAGCTGTCGGTCTGGGCTCATTCCATGACCTGGGACTATTCGTGAAGGATCCGACCAACATACAACACATCGCACAAGTTGATTTTCATTCATTCAATCATAGAGCTATTGCATTTACCGAGGATGATGTCTTGGCACACAATGTGCTAATGCTCAACGGTCAGAAATGGAAGCTAGTCAGGCAGAAAGTGACACCAATTTTTACAACTGCCAAACTTAAAAACATGTTTTACATCATCGACAAAAGTGCTCAGGATTTTATAGAGTATTTAAGAGATAATCCAGAAAAGTTGAAAGAAGATCTGTTTGATACTTTGGGTAATTACTGCAATGCTGCCATTGCTGCTGCTGTATTTGGAATCCATACACGCTCAACTTTCGATTCTCCATTCCGTATGATGGCTAAAGAGGTTCTGACTCCTACTTTTTTCACAAATTTGAAGTTTGCGATAAGTGGAGTAAGTGAATCACTCTTCAAATTTTTAAAACTCAAGTTATTCAAAACAGAAAAAGAGAAATTTTTCATCGCAGCGATCAAACAAGTGATTAGGCAACGAGAAAAAGAAAACGTGAAGAGACACGACTTTATAGATATATGTGTAGAGCTCCAGAAGAATGGGACAATGGTGGACCCAGATACTGGGTATGCGCTGGAGCCGACAGATGAGCTGATGGCTGCTCAGGCTTACTTTTTCTTCTTGGCAGGTACTGACCCTACAATCGCTGGAATATTCGGTACTTTAATGGAATTGGGAAGAAATCCCGATATCTTGAAGAAGGCACACGAGGATGTGGATAGAGTATTCGAGAAATATAATGGTCAACTGACGTACGATGCAGTTGGAGAAGTGAATTATTTGAAAAATGTATTGAGTGAGGTCTTTAGAGTGCATCCTCCGATAGCTTTTGTAATGCGACAGTGCGTGCAGGATAGTGTTCTGCCTGTAGGCAATATTCCTGTTGAGAAAGGTATAAAGATATTTATGCCTATATTTGACTTGCATCATGACCCTAATTATTTTCCGGAGCCTGAGAAATTTGATCCTGACCGCTTCGTGAGGGAAGGAGAGATAAATGATGCGACTTATATACCGTTTGGTAAGGGTGGTCGATATTGTATTGGAGCGAGATATGCTAATATTCAGATCATGACTGGGTTGATCCATATTCTAAGGCATTATACAGTACGTACATTTGTGAGAAAAGGAGGCGTTAAGTACAATAAGGAGCAATTTCAAGTGCGTTTGAGAAATTGTGATGTTGAGTTGGTGCCTAGAAAATTGTGATTGGTGCAAGCGAGTGTAATTGCTATTGTGTTTCGAGCAGAGGTTACTTTTACCTGTACGCGTAGAAGTATAGTAGTTAGTTCGTAATTTAGTTTCGACAGTACTGTTTTTATATATTAATTTATTATAGTATCTACAGTTATCCGTAGATAATTTTGTGAATTCTTAGAATATTTTTTTAATATATAGAGAAAATTTCTACAAATAAATTAAAGTTTACATGTGTATTTATTTATGCATGCTTAGCATAACATCTTGCTTATTAATTTCTGAGAAATTGGACGAAGTAGGTATGTACCTCTATATTAAGTCCATATTCTTTTAACTCTATCCTACTTATGAGAATTTTGAAATCGAAATTTTCAGTAATGCTTTTTCAAATCCAAAGGTTAAGAGCAGTCTACGAAATATTAAAATAAAGAACAATTTTTAATATCTAATTAAATATCATATCCACTTTTCACCAGTTATATTACTAGCTTCATGTAATGTGTACAATGGGCTATAATATTGTATAAGATTATGCAGTACAGTGACTGCCTCATTGGCCGAGTGGTCGCAAGTGCGACTGCGGGCAAGGGGTCTCGGGTTCGATTCCCGGGTCGGGCAAAGTATTACTGGGTTTTTAAAAATTGTTAGTAGTAGCACGGTGTCTGGAATTGTGCCCGGTATATGGCAATAGGCTCACCCTGTATTACATGGGACTCATAACATAAATAGTGAAAAGTGGGTGTTACATTGTACAGTGGCATTAAGTGCCTTAATGTGCACCTCTGCCTACCCCTTCGGGGATAAAAAGGCGTGATGTTATGTAATACCAAAATAAATGATTGTCATTATGTTATTATGCACATTACCATTTACCAAAATCATAAAAAAACAGCAAACTGTAAATTAAAAGGAATTAAGATCAAATGTGTATTTTTTTGGTTACGAATTTGGTATGACTTTTTTAGTTTATATTAACAAAGGTAGATGGCGTTGTATACAAAAAGTGAACCTAATATTTATCTAACTGTTAGTAGTTGTCTAAAAATATATTATGTATTTTCTAATCAATAGCAGAATTTCATAATATTAATTAAAGACATTTAATGATTATTATGCCAACAAGTACAGGATTTCCCCAATCCTCAAATTCCTAACCCCTCAAAAAGGCCGGCAACATATTTGTAACTCCTCCGGTGTTGATCAGTGTTGAGTAACCGATCCGTCTGCCAATTTGTCACTCGATTACATAATAATAGATAGAAGATATGAGTTTTTTTGAATTTCGGTTTTTTATCAGTAATTAAGATTTTATATTATCTGTAAAGTTTTGGGATCTTTAGTTTTTTTTAAAACGTTTTGAGTATACAACTATTGCACAATGTGGGCTCAAATGTTGCATAAATGGTGAACACTAAAAACAGGAAAAACGTAGAGGTAAACCTAAGAAGTTTAGTTTACTTGTGAATAAAATTTATTAAAAATTCCATTATTAATTATTATTTGTTAATAAATATTAAATGTTTTTTATTTTTGAGTTTACAATTTACGTGTTCGTCGTACATTATTTTTGTTTATTCATTTGACTTACAAGTAACGAAAACTAAAAAAAAAATAACAATGTGTCACTAGTTTTGATGAACAACATAACATCACGCCTTTTATCCCAGAAGGGGTAGGCAGAGGTGCACATTATACCACTGTTCAATCTAACAACCACTTTTCACTATTTATGTTATGAGTCCCATGTAATAGGGGGTGAGCCTATTGCCATGTACCGGGCACAATTCCAGACTCCGTGCTACTATTGAGATTTTTTTAAAAGCCCAGTAATACTTTGCCCGACCCGGGAATCGAACCCGAGACCCCTTGCCCGGCAGTCGCACTTGCGACCACTCCGCCAACGAGGCAGCTTTTGATGAACAATATAAGAACATTAACAATAAATTGCAATTGCATTAATTTTATTTTGCAATCGCAATATAAGCAACACGTGTTTATTTAATATTCTTTGGTACGTCTCCACTAAAAACATGATAGTCATAGATAATACTGACTGGCAGACCACACAGTCACAACATGGTACAGAATTATCAAATCACTATCAATATGAAGCGAAAAATATTATGATGTAAGGTGATAACTGATAATACACTGATATAATCGCTTTACAATTGCAAATACGGATTCGGAATTTCAATAATCTTTGTTTTCATTTATTTTACGCTCAGTTGTGCAATATTGGCGACATCTTCAGATAAATATACTACTACACCCATGAGTGAACGAAAAACATAATTCTATTAATAAATAAAAATGAGTCACCGAAATATATATTTGTGTATGAATCGAATGACTTAATATTATATGGATATTCGTTTTTACAAGATTTCTGTATGTAAAGTAATGTATGTATGTATCAATGGATGTATGTACGCAATCAACACGGGTTTTTTTTAAGGGGGGAAATCATCGAATGACTTCTCCCGCCTGGGTGAGGCGGGAGGGAGTGACATACTCTTACTGACTAAAAACCATCCTGTTCCTACTCCTGCTCGCAGGCCCGCGCTTACGGTGGCCGGAGTCGTCCCGCGATCCCCGACACCCGGAGTGTCCTTTGCGATGGCTGGGTTGCGAGGAGGTAGCGTTTCGCTGCCTCACGCGTCCTGCCTCCTCCTTAGCTAGCATGACTGCTTCACAAAAGGAGGAGACGGCTTCCCAATCCCCCTCGCTCCGCATCATGACCCGTAATAGGGCCGGACGTGAGATGTCTCCATGGGCGATCACGTCCTTGAAGGCACGGCAGTGCTCAGCCCAAGCACACTCTAGCGGAATGCCCCCGCTAGAGTGTGTTCCACCCTGACCTCAGATTCGTCCAAATCCACACGGGTTGTGCCCAGGCCGCGGCGTCCTGATGGCCCGATGGTATATTTTTTTGTTTTTACTTTATAGTTGTTTTGCCGCGGGACGAGAACGAAATAGCTTTCACTTTGTGTATTTATACAAGTAACTTGCTACGTCTGTGGCTACCATGAGGTACTTCAAAGTCCAAATGTTATTCTAACGCCATGTAAAGTCGTCACGAAGATAAATCCTATCGCACTAACATTATGTTGTCTATTTACTATAATTATTAAAATTAAATAATTAATTGATCATAATTATGTTACTAATTTATTACAGATGAGCTTTCGCCTAACCGCCAGCGTGAAATTTTGAAAGATTTATTTCAATTTTTTTAAGTTTAAAATAAATTTTCATACAAATACGCACATGAAAGGCTAGACGTAAATTTGTAGGTGCTTCGCATCACACGTGCCACCTGACGAGAAATAATTCTGCGATAATTACATGGTGTGATGTTTTAAAAATTTCTAAGAGTTCGTATGCTCCTCTAAAATTGATTTTTCTAATGGATCACCAATTATATTCCGTTTAAATTTTTTTTTGTAAAACTTCTGTATTGCCAAAACCATTTTACTTCGGGACGAAAACGATATATAGATTTCACGACATAAATATTTATGTACCTGTACAAGTAAAAATGTCCCCATTTTCAATTCCCGACTTGCACTTGAACATATAATGTGGCAACATGGTATATCGTTATCATATCGGCTGAAAACACCGAGCATATTATAAAAAGAAGCGTTCGAGTTGAGCGTTCATCAGTTACAGCTGAACATTTAACGAGGTTAGACAAGTTCAGACAACCAAACATGTTGTCCACAATCATACTCGCCGTAGCCATCGTGGTACTAACCCTCACGTACCTCAGAGGCAAATACAATGAAAACTACTGGAAGAAAAGAGGAGTAGCTTTCTACCAAAGAAATAAAACCGTCGGCCCTTTGTGGGAGTTCATGACAGGAGAAAGACCATTGTTCCAAGTGTTCAACGAACTTTATTGGAGATATGAAAAGGAACCTGTTGTTGGATTGGGCTCGCTGGACTCGCCCGGACTTTATGTAAAGGATCCAACCAATATTCAGTTCATCACACAAACCGCTTTCCAGAATTTTAGTCATAGAGGAATCATAGTTTCTGAGGATGATTACCTGGCTAATAATGTTTTGTTTCTACACGGCCAGAAATGGAAAGTAATCAGACAGAAAATGACACCACTTTTCACAACAGCTAAACTGAAAAATATGTTCTACATTATTGATAAAAGCGCCCAGGACTTCATAGAACATTTGAAGCAAAACCCAGAAAAACTAAAAGGTGACACATACGAACATTTAAGTCATTTCTGTACCGCTGCTCTCGCGGCCGCTGTATTTGGAATCACTACAAAATCCACATTTGATTCTCCGTTCCGTGTAATGGCAAAAGAAGCATTAACTCCTACATTGATGTCCAACTTCAGGTTCGCAATAAATAACCTCAGTGACACACTCTTTAGAGCATTGAGACTAAAATTCTTCAAGGATCAAGAGAAGTTCTTTATTGGAGCTATTAAAGAGGTACTCAAACAACGCAGATCAGATAGTACTGTGAGACACGACTTCATAGATTTGTGCATGGACATTCAGAAGAATGGTCCAATGGTAGACAACGAAACTGGATACACATTGGAACCTACAGACGAGGTGCTGGCTGCTCAAGCATTCTTCTTCTTCTTAGCTGGCGTTGATCCTACAGCAGCTGGAATGTTTGGACCTGTATTTGAATTGGGCAGACACCCAGAGATCCAAAAGAAGGTACAGGATGAGGTAGATGCCATCTTCGAGAAATATGGAGGTAAACTGACGTATGATGCAGTACTGGAACTGAAGTACACCGAATGTGTATTAAATGAAGGTCTTCGGTTACATACTCCAATTGGCTTCAACTCCCGGCAGTGTGTGAAGGACTCGGTTCTGCCTGTAGGAAATGTGCCTGTTGAGAAAGGTACGAAGATATTCATACCTATGTATGAGTTGCATCACGATCCTAAATATTTCCCAGAACCTGAGAGGTTCGACCCTGATCGCTTTGCTAGAGGAGAGGTGAGTGATACGATATACATGCCATTTGGTATTGGCAAGAGGTTGTGTATTGGTGCACGATATGCTCGTATGCAGATCCTGACTGCGTTAGCACATCTCTTGAGAAACTATACAATGGTCACACACATCAAAAAGGGTGGTCTGCGGTATAGAAAGGAGCAATTCCAAGTGCGACTCGATAACTGTGACATCGAGTTGGTTCCCAGGCAACAGTAAATGGCCAAAATTACTTTAGCTGGTACAATGGACTTGTAAATAATTTATTGTAAAACTGTGAAGTGTTTTCTATGTGGTTTTTGAAAATAATCTAAATGTTATTTATTTACACATTTTTTCTATTATTCTAACAGTCAGTAATTCTTATAAGTAATAGTAAGAGTTTGAGCGTTACTGTTTCATTTATTATTTTGTGTGAATATCTGTGTTATTATTGTGTAAATGTCTTAATAAAATGTGATTGTGTTGTATACCTGCTCTTTTTTACTGTCACCATGGACTAAGGAACTTTTTATTTTAGTCAACTCATATGCATGAAGTGAATGGGTAGTAAAGAAAGAAAGAAAAATAACCATTTATCATACCCACGACACACAACA